CAGATGCGATTTGAATGCCGCTGTGGAGTATCGACCGTAAAGAAATAGTAATATACATGTGATTAAAGTCGAAATTTCCCTCTTTTATCACTTTTATGTGGTTTGATTTCTGTCTCTCCACCGACGTCTCGCCATACCTTCTGAGTCTGTTGTTGAAGTTGTTTCCAGTTATACGTATGTTCTTACTTGAGGCAAGGAACGCTTATCTGTAGCCAATAGGGAAAAAGTATAAGAACAATTATAATCTTTATTGCATATTTACAGCCCAATAAAGCCGAGAATGCCCCTACATGTCGGCTTCAGCAGCCTCCCAAAATGCCGCAAATTACTCCCACTCCTCTTCCTTTTCTTCGTCACATGCTTGACCCCCACTTTACGGGTATCTGGGTTTGCTGCCCCTAGCCCTGTATCCCACATCGATCGTTTCAAACGTCTTCAAAATCAGTTTGATTTGCGGGGCACAGCTTTGGCCAGCAACGATGGCAGCAAAGAAGTGACCCTTTCTCCGAGAGAGGCTTATTTCCTAGGGCAAGCGTTTGCGACATGGATCATCCGGGAGCTGTCTCCCCAGTCTTCAGCCTCCACTTCCGCGGAGACGCTCCCGATAACCATTGCCGCTGGCCGAGACAGCCGATTGACGGGGCCCGCCCTTTCCTACAGTTTTTTGGAAGGCGTGGAGACCGTGTGTGGTGCTGCGGCGCCGGTGGATCTGGGCCTCTGCTCCACCCCAGCCACCTTCCATGCATGCCTTGACCCGCCATTGGGGCTTGGCGTCTCTGCCTCCGTCATGGTAACCGCTTCACACCTTCCGATGGACCGAAACGGCTTCAAAATGTTCTCACGTCAGGGGAAAGGCGGCCTAACGGAGGCTGAGGTGTCGGACGTCGTGGCGCTGGCTGCCGAGATTTTCCAGGACCAGCATGGGGCCTACCCAAACCTGGATATTCCCACCACGCGCCCACACCCGCATTGGCTAAAGGCACACCGTTTCCTGCAGGACGTGTACGGGGAGCACTTGTCACAGCTGATCCGAAATTGCGCTGCCAAGGGCCGGAATTTTGAAAAGCCGTTGGAAGGCATGCGGGTGGTGCTGAACCCCGTCAACGGTGCGGGAGGATTTTTCGTTCACGTCTTGGAAGCCTGCGGAGCGGACACGCGAGGGAGCTTCAACCTGGCTCCAGACGGACACTTCCCCAACGAGCCTCCCAACCCCGAGGACCCCGCCACCATGCGGGCCACGGTGCAGGCTGTGGCGGCCGCGGGGGCCGACCTGGGCGTCATCCTCGACCCGGACTGCGACCGAGTGGGGTTAGTAAGCGGGGTGGGGAAAGCTGCCGGGGGCGACCGCGCGCCTATTGCCTTGAATCGGAACCGTCTGATCGCGATGGCTGCGGCCGTGGTGCTCCGAGATCATCCGGGCAGCACGATTGTCACCGACTCGGTGACAAGCGAGGGCCTCTCTCGCTTCATCGCCAAACGGGGGGGGAAGCACTTACGGTACCAAAAAGGGTATAGGAATGTGATTGAGAAAGGCGAGTCCCTCCCAGACTGCTGGCTTGCCATGGAGTGCAGTGGCCATGCTGCCTTCCGTGAGAATCGATTTTTAGATGACGGAGCCTTCTTGGCCGTGAAATTGATAGGAGAAATGGCATCGCCCGTGTCCGCCTTGACAGGAGGGAAGGACATCGCTGTCTTTACACCCTCAGCGGGCTTCGAAGGCGCCAATTTGCTAGCACTGATTGCGGATCTGGACGAGCCGGTCGAATACGTAGAAATTAGGTTGCCGGTTTTAAGAGGCCGCGACCGAGAAGTTGCGATCGAACAAGTGTTGAAAGCCTTTGAATGGGTAGTGAGTGTCACATCATGGTGGAAAATGGAAAAGTATAATTACGAAGGCTTGCGGGCGAAGGTGCAGGAGGGCGGAGGACGGAAGGCTGGCTGGCTTCATTTCCGGGCCTCCTTGCATGACCCGGTAATATCCTTGACCTGCGAGAGTGAGGTGGAGGGAGGTGTAGCGGCGATGTTGGGAACATTAATAGACTGCGGCATGCCGGATGCTACGTCTGATACGGTGGATTGGGCC